TAACTTTTGGATATCAAGGGATTAGTGCCAAAAAAAATAAATCTATAATAGGTACCATATAGGCAAAGAAAATTAGATATTACACACTCAACTATAATCTCTTAATAGACTCATAGAGGGTTTTGAGGCTATACTTGCAGCATATAGTAATAGGTGATTAATCCTCATAAACAAAAAACAATTAAGAACAAAATGCTACCTAAAACTAAAAGATTACAAAAGTAATTGCTATAAGGACACAAAACAAGGGTAGTCAGACAACCACTTCACCCTTCTCTAACACTTGGAAGTCTTTCTTGGCATACCAGCTTTAGTTTTGAGGCAAAAAAATAGTTACCCCTATATTATCTCCTCCTCTATCATGGTGAAACTCAATAAAAATACTGAGAAAGGCCCAGGCAAAGACCCCAAAAGAGAGAAAATGACTTTCTTTAAGAGAGGGACCTTTAAAAGGGAGTAAACTCTCACTTTTTGTTCATTCTCTATAGCCACCGTTGGGAGAGAGGCTATGACAACTAAGCAGAAAAGAAGAAAAAAGAGTGCCACGGCTTTGAGAGAGATGAGAAGAGAGGCACCAAGGTTTAATACAACCTTTTTCGATTAACTCCGTGAAGATTTTTAATTTTTATGTAAAATACATGTGTATATACAATGAAAAGTGATTGGTATACACTTGGTATAACATATTTTTTTACACCCATTTATTTTAATCATTAAAAATATAATATAAGTACAAGTGATTCAATTGATTCTTGCATTTTATGTACATAGTTGCATCTTTTGTCTATCTTTAATTGCAGACAAAAAATAATAATTTTTTAATAAATGTATTGTACAATATGTTAAATCGAAATATGTACTAATTAGTATTCACATCTAATAGATTACATCTAATTGGTAAAGTAAGCGGACTATTAAACCTTAGAAATTGTGACAGTCATTACCATGATTTTTTTTTTTTTATCTGAGTTACCATGGTTAATTAACTGAGAAAAATATGACTGTGATTTTATTAATAATATATGTGGTTTCATGAGTATACTACAAAGGAAAAAGGATCAAGGTGATAATCATTATGAACTTTTTATATCAACAAAGCAAGAATTGTATTAATAAAGCAGCGAGAGTACAAAGCCATACACCCTATTGCAAAGCAAAAAGGAGACGATCGATGATTAAGATGAATTAGTTTCTTTCTTTCTTCTTCTTCTTTCGGCAACCAAAGATACGAATCATGTTCATGATCTCTCCCATGTGCTGGCATGCATGTTGGGCACGTTTTTCTTTTTTTTTTTTTTTTTTTTTTTTTTTTTTTTTTTTTGAGAACAGTTGGGCACTGTTTTGAGCATGCTAGACATATATATTAAGGGGTTAAAAAATTATTTTAGACCAATAATTATTGATATATATACACATGAGTACTCCATGTTTGTGCTTCGGCTATATATGGAGAATGTACAAATGAAATGTCTAACATTTAAAGAAAAAAACTAATTACAATTTTCTTCATGGAAATCTAACAAATTGTAGTAGTCATCTAGAAGGAGAAAATTCCTTTAATCATGAAATTAAGAATATGCTAACAGGGCGCTAAAAAACGTCTTATACGTAAGCCTATTCATCTGAGCATCTAATATTATACTTAATGCGGTAGTTAAAAATTAATTAATCAACCCATATTTGCATAAAGAAGTGACTCCCTATAATCGTATTTCACCAGACGACACATTAGGTGCCTTGTCAGCGAAAATCACAGCTGTCTATCAGCTCAAGAACAGAACACTATATGTACGAACAACCTAAATTCGAGAGAGTGACCATAAATTTTAATTAATTGGTGGATTGTATACGAAAGTGTAAGATTTTGCAGCATCTATTCCAGAGGTATATTTGATTGCGTAGACCATTGGCTATATTCGAGGTTGAATGTTATGTTTCTAGATTCCATGACATATCCACATTTAATTAGTCCCCTCTACTACCATTCCTTCACTTATAGCTTCACTATGTGTTACATTCCCATACAACAGGCAGTGTTTCTTTAAGTTTAATTAGTTTAA